CCCGCCACGGCTAGCCGATACGCCGACGCGGGCGCCTGAGTGGCAGCGTCCGTCGTGCCGGCGCCGGCGCCGTTCCCGCGGGCAAACGCGCGGCCGCCGGAGGGCGCGGCCGCCGCGGCGGCGGCGGCGCTGCGCCAGCCGCTCGTCGTCGCCGGCGACGCGGCGCGCGTCGTCGCAGTCGGCTGGCGCGACAGCGCCGCGCCGGCGCCGGGCGCCGCGCCTGTTGAGCGCGCGCTGCTCGTGCGCCGCAGGCCGCCGAACATGCCGTTGGCCATCCCCGCCGGCCGTTCGCCCGCGGCCACTGCGAACTTGGACGCCAAGGCGCCCTCGCCGCACGCGCCCACTGGTCCTGCCGCGGCGCCTGCGTCGGCGGCAGCCCCAGCGCCCGCGCCCGCGACCTGATAAAGGGCCGTCGACGCCAGCCGCACATCCAGTAGTTCTACGTCGTCTGTCGTGGCATTTATGTGGATGTCGTTGGTGCCCGCAGCCATCACGAAGCTGAACTGCACGGGCTGCGCCACCAGGCGCGTCACGGGCACGTACGGCGGCGCAGGGCGCGGCCACTGTTGCCCCTGCTGCGGCTGCCGCCCGGCGCCTGGTGCTGGCGGGGCGGCGTGCTGCTGCGGGGCCGGCCGCGGCAGCGGGCTCGGCGGGGCCGGCGGGGCAGGGCCCGCCGCTTGTGGGCGCTGGCGGGGGCGGCTGGCGCGCGAGGGGCTGCCGGGCCGGCCGGGGGCGAAATGGGCACCGGCCGCGGGGGCAGCGGCGGCAGCGGCGGCGGCGGCCTCGTCTGCCCGTTTCAGCTGCAAGTCCGGGTCCCACCAATCTGGGCGGTTGGACAGCGTCGCCTGCAGGGTCAAGCGGCAAGTGAAAGGGGGTGTCGGGGTCAGCAGGCTGGCTGAAAAAAAGGGCAGCACCCAGCTTGCTGCCCATGGCGGACGAGCAGGGTTCAACAAGGCTCTCATGAACGATTGTGCCTCTTGCCGACGCAGGCCGGCGACCCGGGGTGACCAGCAACATGCTGGCAGCAGCCACCAGCCCTGCCGCGGCGGTTGATGAAAACACAGCCGCCAGCTCGAAAGCTAACAGCAACACGCCGCCACTCCCTGACAGCCGGTTTGACTCATCTACTTGTGACAATACGGCCCACTTCACGACGAACCGCGGCAGCCACGCGCACCTTGAGCTGCCCCGTCTCAACAGTCAGCACCACCGCCGGCCGCAGCCCCGCCAGCCGCAGCCCCAGCCGCGGGGCCGGGTCGAAAGCCGTGTTCCACGCCGGCGGCGGCCGCGGCGGGATGGAACCTGCGTCGAAGCTGCTGTGCAGCTCCATGAAGTTCTCGAAGCACACCCTCATGAGGCACGCGTAACTGCCAGGGTCCAGCCGCACGGCCATGCCGCCCGGCAGCGCCAGCGCCAGTGCCAGCGGCGCTTGTGCCAGTGCTGGCGCCGGTGCGGGCGCGCCAGGGGCTGGGGAGGCGGCTGGCGCGGCGGAAGTGGGCGGGGCGTGGTAGTTGTAGGCGGCCGCGGTGACGTCGCAGGGTTCAAGTATGGGGACGAGTTGCCCCAGGGTGCAGCCGGCGCAGGGGCCCTGGGTTCAGGGGTAGGGTGGGGACACAGGACGACGAGGTGGAAGGGGTTGAGGGATGCACAGAGTTGGGCGCAGCGGCTGTTTAGCGCTTGTATGTGGACGGAGACCGATGGACCTGGCAAGCTGTCCGGCAATCAGGGAGCGGCGCAGAGTTGAGCAGCGTCGAAGGGGCTGCGCCCCTCCCCACCTCCCCCAGGACAGCCGACGCACCTGCCCGCGGCTCCGCGCGGCGTCTTCAGCTGCGAGTTGGGGTTCGGCCTCGTCGCCGCCGCGGCCGCGGCCGCCGCCACCAAGGGTCGAGGAGCAGCGCTGCATCTCTGCAGCAAGCAGCTCAAGCCCTTCAAAGACCACAAGCGCCTGAGCGTCCCCGCCAGCCGCGACGGCCGAGCCGTAGCCGCCAGAGAGCGGCGCCGCCGGGGCAGCCCCGCCTGCCGCGGCCCGGGCGGGCGGTTGCCCTGAGCTCGAGGGGGGCGGCGGTGGACCCCCCCCCAGAGACGGCACCGCTACATTGGCGGCCGCCGTGCGCGCAGGGCCTGGCGCGTCGCCAGCCAGGACGTGCACCGTCCGCTTGCGGCGCAGCAGCTTGCTGACGGCCGCGCCCGCGTGCGCCAGCAGCCGCTTCGTCGGCGACGGTCGGGCCTGTGCTGACGTTCGCAAAGCACCCTCTTCCTCTTCCTCCTGCTCCTCATCACCGGTCCCTGCGCCCGCGCCGCCGCCGCCGCCGCTCGGACGCACGAGCAGCAGCCCCGGCTCCGCCGCCGCGGCGCCGCGGCCCGCATTCCGCCGCTGCTGCGGCGAGCCTCGGGCCTGGGGCTGCGGCCGCGTCTGCGGCTGCTGCGCCTGGTCGGGCGACACCTGGCGCGCCGCGTCCGCCGCGGCGGGCGCGCTGACATCAACCACTGGCGGAGCGGCCTGATGCTGCTGCTGCTGCTGCCCGTGCTGCTGAGACTGCTGCTGGGGCTGCTGCTCCTCACCCCCGTGCCGCCGCAGCATCAAGCGGCTGCCGCCGACAAGCTGCTCGACCTCCGACGCCGCCATCATCCACGGCGGCAGGAACGCGCCCTGCTCGCCCGCAAAGCCGGCGGCCGACGCCAGGAGCTCCGGCGCGCCGGGCGCGCCGACCGCGACCGCCGTGGCGTTGATTACCAGCGCCTCTCGGTAGAACGCGTGCCGCGGCGCCCTCCGCTCGGCCGGGTAGCGGCCCGGCGCCGCTGCAGGCGCGGCGGCCCGCAGCTCGGTGCCAGCGCCGGCGCCGGCGCCTGCGCCGCCGCGGGCGCCGCCCCTGCTGGGCCTGGCGCGCCTGGCGGCGTCCCGGGCGGCGGCGAGCGCCTCGGACGCGCGCTCGTACTGGTTCCCCGCCCCCTTGGACGCGTGGCTCGCCGGCAGAACGACCTGCACGTTGCTCAACTGAATAAGCACCGCCGCCGCTGGCACCGACGGCGCCGAGGAGGGGACCGCAGCAGCCGGGGCGGAAGGCTCGGGCACACCGCAGAAGGCGGCCGCCTCTTGGGCTATGATCTGAGACGCGTGCGCCGCGTTGTTCAAGAAGCGGCGCAGCAGCACGAAGCGCGGGTTGGTCAGGGCGACGAGTAGCACGCGCAGCGGCGGAGGCTCGTCGGGCGCGGCCGCGGAAGGCTGCGGGGCCGGGGCCGGCAGCAGCGCGCGCACGCGCAGCGAACATCGCCCCTCCTCCGGGGCCGTTGTGCCCTGTGCGGCGAGAGGGCGGCATGGTGTCACCGTGGGTGTGACGAGACGAGCCAGGGGATGGCCCTGGGGCGATACAGACGCACCGCTCTCCTCGCCCAAGCATCCGCAGGCAGGGCTCCTCCACACCGGCCGCACCACGCCCCGCGTTCTCCCATGCCGTACCGGTGCGCCGCCGGCCGCCGGTTGATTGAAGGACAGCACGTGGCGCTGCTCCAGCGGGGCCTGCAGATCCACCACGCCCATATGGCCCACAGATAGCGCCGCCAGCGACGCGCCCCCGCCAACACCGGCCGCCAGCCGCTGCCCGCCCGCGCCCGCGCCCGCGGCCACGGCGCCGTCATACGGCGCGAGCGCCGCCCGGCCGTCCAGGCACAGCAGCGACGCGAGCCCCTTGCTGCGCAGGTCACAGCTTGCGTTGTTTACTGCCGGTTCCTCCACATTCAAGGTCACCAGCAGCAGAGCGGCGCGCACGTGCACGCGTGGGGCCGCGCGCCCCGCGCCGCCGCCAGCTGCCGGCCCTGCAGGCGCGGGCGCCGGGGCGGATGCTGCCGGCTCGGGCGACGCCTGGAGAGCGGGCGCGATCTCAGGCAGCCGCGGCGACGCGCTGCCCTGCCGCAGCCGCTGCTGCTGCTGTTGGGTGTCTGCTGGCGCCTGCTGCTCCAGCCCCCTGATCCTGCGGCCGCTCAGCACTGGCAGGAAGCTGCTCGCCAGCTGCAGCCCCACGCTTGCCGTGTGCGGCCCCGCCGCGACGTGCACCGCGCCCAGCGACAGCAGCAGCCCGTCCTCCTCTCCTGCGTCTGCGTCCGCGCCGGCGCCTGCGGGGGCACGTCTGTACACCGCCACGGCTTGGGGGTCTGCGAACGAGGTGCGCAGGGACGCCTGATGGCCGCTGCCGTCGCCGCCCTCGCCCCCGCGCGTGCCGGCGCCGTAAAAGGCATCGACGAAATCGACCTCTGCTGGCCGCAGCCGCGCGGCGGCGGGGGCAGCAGCGACTGGCGGCGCCGCCGCGGGCCGCGACGCGCCCCTCCGCGGCGGCAGAGGCAGCGGCCGCTCGCCTGCCGCGGGCGCAAACGCGTCGCCGCCGGCGCGCTCGCCGGCAGAGGAGAAGGACCGCGTGCGCCGGTGGCGCGGCAAGCCGTCGCGGCGGGCGTCTGCGGCCGGGCGTTGGGCGAAAGTCGCCCCGGCGGCGGCGCCGCCGTCTGCGCTGGCGACCCGGCCGCCTGGCGGCGGCGTGGCCCAGCCGCCAGAGAAGAGCGCACCGACGCGCGCCATGGGGGAGGCGGCCCCGTCGCCCGTCAGGCTGCGCCTGCGCGGTCGCGGCGTCAGCGGC